ATACATATTCTTCATTTTTTCGAACAATCTTGGGCAATTGATGAACACACTTATTATACACCACACGGTTTTTTACGAGAACAGCTAGCTGCGATCTATCTTTGTGTTCTGTTAACGAGCTACCCACACTAACACGCGCAGCGAGAGAAACACAGAGATACACAATAATACACAATAAAGGTTACAAAGTCATGAACGCCGAACCAAATATTAAGTGACCTTGAAGCGACGCTAGCGCCTAAGCGCAGAAGAGCACTGCTGCTACTCATTGACTCAATGTAAATTGTAAATGCACACGTTGGCCGTTGGCGCTGTAAGCAGCGCAATGTAGTATGTAGATTGAAGTCTCCGTCTCATCAGCACAGTGTTTTATATTGTATATTTTAAAAATTGTGGGTTAAATCTCCAATGGATCCTAACCAACAAATTTGCACATGAAAAATCGCGCTAGATTCTACTTCATTGAAAAGTTTTTTGCAGACGCGAACGGAATCAATCGACCACCAATATATCCAGGTAAGCGTTAATTCTGACCGGTCCTATTTCCGAGGGACCTTAGTCCTTAGACAGAAAAGCTACGATTCTCTAACTAAGCATAAATTCATTGTGTAAAAATTTCAAATTGATAGGACTTTTAGTTTTTGAAGTATAATTTTAAAAAAATAATCACATAAAGCTATATAACTCCTTAACGCGATTAAAAAAATTTTTACTTCAAAAATATCGCTAAGATAAAACTCAAAAAATTCGACGTTAGCGACATCGAACGAAAATTGGCGGAGAGACGCCTTGGTCATGATGTTATCATTCGATTCCGTACTAAGAGACAGAAGCTGTTACTGTTTTCTCGAGGCAGTTTCTTGATTTACGACGTAGTGAGTAATGGGATAGTTACGGTAGACGAGCGCGATCTTTAGGTGCTTTAGCCAAAGGGAGCCCAAATGATAAGTAAATGTAGCCGCGGCACCGCCGAGCGCTCAGTAGTACCGATTCTCGCGCTCGCGAAATAATGCAAATAAGCTATCGGCTTGGAGCGACGTATGAACAGAGCTTGAGCAACGGCTGCATTACACGAGGATAAAAATATAGTTATTTTACAAATTAGTTAACTGACGACTTTATTATTTCTCCGTTCGACTGCACGGTTTTGAGTAAGCGCGCGATGACGTCTATTCTCATCGGCTATGAGTATACCCAAGATGCTTGTTAGCTCAAGCGAGCCTCCGGGTTATACACTACGGCGATCTCGCGGAAAATGTCTATGTTTATTATGATTTCAGAAACAGTAAGTTTGCGTTTGTCTAACAAGCTCGGCGTGAGTCTAGAGAGAAAGAAAAAAAACCGAAGAAGCTGTATATGTGATTTTCCAAAGCTGGCAAATTCATTAATAAGAAGCTACTCGCCGAGCTTCGGTATCTCATAAGCCGGCCTCGCCGAGAGGCAAATATCAATTTTACGCGCAACGAATTGCATTAGCGCGCGAGCAAATTAATCGGTTAAATCATCGCCGTGCGGCTGCTGCTGTTGCTCGTACTGCCGCTATATACAGCGAACGATCGGCTCGTCGTCGCGCGACGATAAGGGAATGCGTTTAAAGGTCGATCGTTGCTCTCTCAACGGCTTTGGCGCCTTATACACCGGAGCTGGCCTGCGCATGTACGAGTCTGTGGCGATCATCGCGCGACGACGTGAATTTTCCGTAGGCTCGTCGGATCCCTATATGTAAGCTTGTGTACAGCACGCGAATACGAAATTCAAGTATGGCGCGTGATGAATATAATTAAGCTCCCTCGTGCTCACGCGCGCACCTCCAGATGCGTAAATCTATGTAATGCGCTCGCTTAAAGTTCGTCAGAGAGAGAAGAGAGAGAAAATCAGCAGCAGCAACGTACATAACATAACTTCCGCCAAGATGCGCGCGTGCATTAGCGCGCGTTGTAGCATAGGTATCGGCGCGAGAGAGCGAGAGCTAGGCCCGCGTGAGAGAGAAAGAGCAACGTTGTAGTAACACGTCGAGGCCCTCGCGGATTACACACATCCTCGCATGCTTCGTCAATATAGCCGCGCACTTTTTTATATTGGCGCGCTGCACGTAGGTATCCGCGGCCTTTTCCGAATAATCGCGCCGCGCGGAAGCTAAACCGTTAAATCGTATTTATTAAAGCGTTAATTAAGCCTGATTCGAAGTGCGAGATATACGGGCGCGAGCGTCGCCTCGTTGTAATGTATAAGCATACATATAGCATTTAAACAGCTGAGTATGAGCAACAACCGCACCACCGCCGGATATGCTGTACGCCGAGCAAGCGCGAATTAAATTTGCCCTTTATGCAGATATCGAGCGAGCGCGTGAGAGGTTGGCACGCATCGGCGCGATCGACGCTCGGCTTTCAACTTTTCGTATTGCACGTAAACGCGGAGCTTCGAAGCGACGTGTTTCGTCGTTCGCGCCCCCTTCTTGCCTGCATCGCGAGCGCACGAGTTCGATTTAGCTGCATATGATACAGCTGCCCGCCAGGCTCGAGCTTTATCTGCGTTTCAGCATCGTAACGGTGGTGCGCAGAGGTGTTTGTAAAAACTCGCCAATTGGACCCTCAGGCCTGTACCTTGGGTGCGCGCGCCATTCCTAAAGTTAATGTGCGCGCCGTAATTAAGATCTCTCGATATTGTACAAACAACGAGCGGGCTCGAGCCTGCTATTTCCAATTTCGCTTGATATTCATGGGCGCACGTGTGTACTCGCTCACGCACGAGTATCGATACGTATTGACGCTGCTAGTCGATGAACCGATTTGCATTTTTGCTGCTTAGAATTCATATCTTTTATCCATTGCTACGTTTCATTTTTTTTTACGCTAACATTTTCATTTGATTTTTTACGATTCCTATCGTTGCGAACCAAGTATTTGAAAAGCTGTATTCAAAGAAAAGTAAACATTATTTCCCAAGATTTAATTTCAAGAAAACAAAAAAATCATACAACTGCGGTTATTGAATTATCTAAATATAAATTTTGGGTATGTTTGAGAAGAACCAATTATTTCGTTGATTCCTTACATCATCTGAATGATTACATGCGTAGATGAATAAAATCAATGAATCTCTCTCAAAGTTTTATAATCAATAGTGAGAAAGGTCGGCTCGGCGATACTCGTCATATTTGTACCGTTAACTATTTGATTGAATGCGGACAACTTGCATGGCCAGTCCATATCACTTTGGCATTAGTTCATGGACTTCATAAAAGATTTTTCAAGTATAATGAGAAAGAGTCGAGGTGGAATGACGAGATGAGAGCCTCGTATACGTTCGCAAGCAGGTGAATCGATCTCCAACTCTGCTCCGCAGGATTCCACGGCATCGCATAAATAAATGTAAATATTTTCAGGACTACCGTCGTTCACAGGCCGCACACATACGTACGCTTCGACGGGCCAAATGGCGCTCGCTCGAAATAGCCGCGGGGAGACAAAAAGAAAAAGATATTATTGACAACTAGAGATGTAGAGAAAAAAAATAAGAAAAGAGTATATAAGACTCTCGACTGGCTGTGGCCGCACTGCTCTTTACCAAACAGTTATAGTCCTTGGAAGTGGAATGGCATTACACCTTAAGGACCAATGCAGCGGCGAATTTTTGCAAAAAAAAACACCCAAGTCAGCTCCTTCGACGAGTTGCGTAACTAAAGTAAGAGGTCGGACAGTTAGTACCTTTGAGTAGTGTGGGTGCCCGTTCGATCTTGATGAACAGTATTTTCCTTTATATCTGCGTTTTGCATTTATTTTTAAATGATTTGCTTTAAAACGAAATTCTTTTGAAAGCTACGTCAATGCTCACGTGACCCAAGTATTTTATTACTTTTACAACTAAACGTATTTTATGCTTGACAAGATTACTGATTGGATTAGTGAAAAAATATAACTGCAGTGAGGGTTTGGAGGCAAATATTAAAAAGGAACTGAAAAAACTTCAAAGAACGTCAAAGCATATGAATGAATATTCTTTCATTTGATTAACTTTTTTGATCGATTTTAATTGCGGACTATTTTGTTTTTTCGAAGAAAAATAATTTGAAGGCAGGAGTTGTAAGAATGACGAATTTCATTCTTTCAAGTAAAACTCATCACGCGAAAAAATCGATAGAGAAGTCGTCTATCTGTCTAAATTTTGATCTTAAATAATTTCAAAAAAACTTCTCATGACCAATCTATTTATTACAATGAGGAAAATTACTGTATTATTACCATTAACTTTTACAATAAATTTTCCTTAAAATTTTAAAAAAAAATTAGGCAGCTAATATATTTACGAGTCTACAAATTAAATAGATAAAAATTAAATATGATTCAAGAAAACCAAAAATTAAATAAAAGAAAATAATCGAACTAAAAAGTAAAAGGTACCTGAAGTTTCAATTCTGGTGTACATGGGTATTTGAACAATATAAAATTTTTACTCACTGGCTTCACTCATGGTCGACCTTCAACTTACATTTTAAAAATGCTGGAATAAAATTAAAAGAAGAAATATTTTTATATAATGAAATGAGTAAATTTAATTTTTTTAAATTTTTTAAGAGGGGATTTATTTGAATAACATGAAAAATTTACAAAATTTAGTAACGCCGACAAAAAAAATTATACAAATACTCTATCGCTAGATCAAACTTTAGCTTGTTGCCACCAAGCAAATACGACATAAATCTTCGTTCGTTAAATGCTCGATAATTATTATACAGCCATCATCTAGTAGTTGGCTCCAAGAAAAGATCCATCGCCAGAAGTGGATTAACATTTTTGGCACCCTAGGCTGGATTAATGTTAAAAAATTTTTTTCAAGTGGGCTCAACAATGATTTTCGCTACTACTTTAAATACTATTGAATACACCACTGCTTTTAAATACTACTGAAAGATTAATTTTTCAATACAATTAATGCACCTGATTACTGCCATTTATAAAAGTCAGTTCCTATATGTATTACAATTGGCACGAAAAACCTCATTTTTCTTTGTTACATGAATCCAAAGTTAATGAATCCAAAGCCGCTAACAAATTTGGTGCTCCTAAAAAGTTACCATTTCCAAATTTGACGTTTTCAAATTGGTCGTCTCTAAAAATTGTCCGCTCTTGGCCATGGCCCATATTCGTCTCTGCCAGTGCCCAACGCCGGAAAAATCCTCTCGACACTATCTCGCATAAGTGTGCAGAACAAGCGTTGCGAGAATTTTGAGGAAATTTCTCCAATTTACCCGAGCACCAGAACTTCCAGTAGTCCATAAATGTGAGTATTTTCTCATTTTCTTCGGGTTGCAGCTGGATCAGATCGTAGAGCGAGAGACTCGGAATGATCATAATTTTGTTTGCTTCTCTCACGAATTGCTCATCATCGTAACAAAATTCTTCAACCCCCGATGATTTTTCGAATAGTTTGAGCTTGGAAAATAATTTCATGATTGTCAGAGCATCGCTTCCCTTTAATTCGTATCCTCTTTTCTGTAAGATCTCGATGACGGCCAGAGCACTAGTAACTAGTTCCAACGAGAGCTTTTTTTCATATTGTTTCAATCTCTGACTAAAGTAACTCTCAGAGGGAAAAACGAAGCTAGATATGTCGGCACCACGATCCAAGAGTAAATTGACCAATTCGGGCTTGAAGTTTGCCACTGCAATTTGCAGCGGTGTCCGACCCAACTTGTCCCGGGCGTCGACCTGTACCACCTGATTGACTAGGTCGGTGATTTTGAAGAGTATCTCCGCCATTTTATGGTCACTGTAGCTATCACTGCAAATAATGTGCAGAGGAGTCAATTCTTTCTCGTCGGTCAAATTCGGGTCTGCACCTCTTCTCAGCAGCAATTCGATCAGTCTTTCGTTGCGTAGGTGCAGAGCAAAATGTAATGGCGCGTTACCCAATCTGTTCCGGGCGTTGATCTTGACCAGCTTATGTTTGGCGTCGTTGACCTCGAAAAATATCTGTGCCAGTCGATCATCGTATTGTTCAGTGCAAATCATGTGCAGAGGTGTCAATCCCAGTATATTTACTGAATTCGGATTCGCGTCGTTCTTCAGCAAAAGTTGGACCAAGTTTCTGTGACCAAATAACATAGCGTCGTGTAGCGGGGTCTGACCCGCTTCGTCTTGAACATTGACTTTCACCGGCTTATACCGTTCGTGACTCAGCTCGAATATCATCTTTGCCAATTTGTAATCGTCACGGGTACGATTGCAGATAATTTCAAGAGGAGTCAGTCCTTTCGCATTAGCCAAATTCGGATTCGCGCCATTTCTCAACAGTATTTCAAATAAATTTCTGCGGCCACGATACAGAGCTATGTGTAGTGGTGTGTTACCCGCACCGTTCTGAAAATTGACTTGGACCGGCTGAAATTGATCGTGGCTGAGGTCGAATAGCATCTTTGCCAAGTTAAAATCGTCGCGATCATCATTGCAAATACTTACCAAAGGAGTCCATCCTTTATCGTTAGCCAAATTCGAATCAGCGCCATTTTTTAGCAGCAATTCGACCACCTCCTTTTTTTTACAGCAAGTGTTTCGTAATGCCAAGAGCAATGGTGTGTTACCCTTGTCATCCTGAACATTGACTTGCACCGGCTTGTATTGACTGAATTCGAATACCATGTGCAACCAGTCATGGTTATCCTGGATATCCTTGCAAATAATCTGCAGAGGAGTCAATCCCTTAGCGTTAGGTAAATTTGGATTCGCGCCGTTTCTCAGCAGTAGTTCGAACAAATTTTTGTGACCACGAGACAGAGCCACATGTATCGGAGTGTTACCGAACTTGTCCTGAGCATTGACTCGCAACGGCTTATATTCGTCACGACTGAGCTCGAACAACATTTCCGCCAAATCATAGTCATTGTATAAATTGAAAATAATCATCAGAGGAGTAAATCCATTGGCGTTGGCCAAATTTGGATCGGCGCCATATTTCAGCAGTAAACCAAACAAATTTTTGTGGTTACGGGACAGAGCCACGTGTAGTAGCGTGTCACCAAAGTTGTCCTGAAGATTTACTTTCACTGGTCGATATTTGTAGTGACTGAGCTCGAATACCATCTTCGCTAAATCATAGTCGTTGTATTCATTACAAATAATCTGTAGAGGAGTCAATCCTTTATTGTTGACCCAATTGGGATCGGCACCTCTTCTCAGCAGCAATTCGATCACCTCTTTGCATCCGCCAAGTAGAGCCAAGTGTAGCGGCGAATCCCCTGTGCTTTGCACGATGAGATTGGGATCCTGGCCGAGCTCGAGAAATTTCTCGGCGATGTTCTTACAACCATACTTGCAGGCTACATGAAAATGAGCTAGGCCGGGCTCGTTGATGCAATTTATGTTGAATCCGTCGTTTGTTATATCAAGTTTAGGGATGGTCTTCTTGGTGCTTTGAAAAAATTTTCGGGTGGCCTCATAAGCGCGTCTAGCCACATGATGCACCGAAGCAGCGGGACGTGGTGATAGTTGCTCGTCTTTTTCAACGTCGGGTTTGTTTTTTTCAGCGTCGAGCTCGTCTTTTTCAATGTCAGGCTTGCCGTTGTAACCAGTCCTCACCGCAAAGTCCATGAATCGTTGTCCTCGACAATTTTTTTTTGCGGCCTCCGCCAAAAGCCAATCAATTTCTTCGGGGCCAAAAATATTCTGTAGCTGAGGAAGTTGGCCCTTCCAATTACTGATTAAAGGGTCAAGTTGGCGTAGAAATTCGAGTCGCTCTGCTTCGATCTCCCAAGTAAATTTTTTTCGTAATTTTTTTAATTTTTTCAGACATTTAGTGTCATCGGCCATTGTTTTACGCACTCACACACAACAAACACTCACTTATAATATGAAATATTTTTTACTATTGGTCACTTGCTGCAGTAGATGCGATCTCCACGTGCTGCTTACGCGTCCGCGTCGTAATGTGTACTAACATACGATCATACACTACACTACACAAGATGAAAGAATATATCTACATAATAGAAAGTGAACATATGTTTGAAGCTACCAAAAAGCGCCAGATGTATGTACAGTAATGATTGGAAAGTGTAAGTCGAGTGAAGTTGCGGCCTCTCATATGTATGACTTAAGCGGCAATAGTAACAATGATACACGGCTAGTCGTAAGCAAAGCCCCTACTTCGCTCGACTTTAACTTTTTAACGCCGATTTTTTAACATGTGCATGTCATTTGACGGTGAGTAACCTGCATGAATAGAATAGAATAGAATATGAGATGCGCACGCGCACGAGAGAGAAAGAGAAAGGAAGAGAGAAAATAACAACAGTGTTTTGGAAAAATCCACCATCATTACGTAACAAATAAAGTACTAATACTAAAGTTATATTAATGAACTAGTACTGATTAATGATATTGAAATAAAGAGGGTCCGAGTATGACGGGGTCGTATATATTTGGGGAATTTTACGCCAAGTTTTCAAAATTATTGATTTTTTAACTCATCCAAAAATCCACTGTAAATGACTGATGGTTTACTCAGATTTTCAAGAAAATACAATCTTCTTTAGAAAATAGCAAAAACAAACTTTCAGCATTAAATAACTCGAAAAGCGTATATTTTCAAGACTTTTTAAAATAGTTTAGATCGAAAGCTGAGGAAATTTCTCATCGAATTACACGTTTTTCAGAGGATAAATTTTATTTTTACTAGCTGAAATGCAGCGATGAACGTTTGAAAATGCAACATTTAAGCCTGCTCTGTGTCGATTTTGACGCGTAGTACCCCGTGTAACGAAAAATCTTGCGTTTTTACACGTTTTCATGTCGTTCATAGCTAAGATCGTCGTTCATAGGGCTACTAGGTAACCCTAAATTTTTTTGGAGCCTATCCATGATCCAGAGTTCTGGTGGTCTCCTTGTTAGTAAAATAAAATGATTAAAATTTTATTACGAAATCATTTGCATTGCGCGATTTTCTGACGAAGAAAAATAACGTGTATTCGAGAAAACATCTTTGGTTATTAAATCATAGAACCTCTTGTAAAGGTCTTTTATATAAAGTTTGTATGAGAAATTACATAAACTCAGTAAAATCACATTATATTTGACGGTAAAAGTAATTGATGTAGAATTTCGTAATCCTACGACAATGGAAATTTTCTTGGTGGCAATTTTTTTTTATAGCATCATCAATCCAATCTGAGCGAGTGTTTTTTTCTTCAATGCAGAACTAGTCGCAATCCACACTTTGAGCTAAATGTGCGATGAAACACGGATGATTTCTCCAAGTAGCATAGACATTTATATTAAAGTCATAGCGTAGATATTTTTTTATTCACCGCATGAGTACGTCAATCTTCTAAAGCGAATCTGGCGAGCTGTGCTTGGTACTATATACAGTGGTCGCGCCGCAAGGACATCAGTCGGCCAGTATACCGAGCGTCGGACGACCGTTTAATGGGCTCACATGCAACCTGCGCTTTTTCATCGTAAAAGTGCGCATAGGTAAGCAGAGATGCGCCGAGTCTCTTTATAGTAATTATAATAATATCTAGCCGACACTGTAAACGCGGCGTAGAGCTTGTCCGCAACACCAACGCTGTGTACTAATGAAATGAAGAGAACTGCTACAGTGATAATAACGAAGTATCTTAAATAATAGTGCTGATGCCGCATGAACGATCATCTTCAACGTGAAGATACGCAACACAGATGTATTTTTATGCAAGACTCTTCTGAACAAATTTTTTTTTTGTTCCAATGTCAACCTTATTTTGCAATTACGTGACTGTTCAGTGAAACATTCCTCGTGACAATGATTATAAATTATTGAAATGATACTGGCAACGGTCATTTTGTATGAAGCAATGTGGAGCCATGTTCACATTTTGCGACCTACTCGGTCAGATGGCCCAACTGATTCTCTCGTTATAAGCGTACGTTAGTATCGTAAATGTTGAAACTATTCTTCATCGCTAGTAAATTACTAATTTTATTAATTATCTAGGCTAAGCGTGTTTTGACTCCCTCTCATGCATATTTTTTTGGGCTTTCTTGAGAATTATATATTTTTTCTTATATACAAACTGCTTGAAAACGAACTTTACAAAAAAGTTTCCACGTGCGTGAGTTATTATCTTGAATAAGCATTAGGCCAAATTTTTTTTCTTTAAGATTTTAAATGGAAAGCGTGGAATTTTCCAAAACGGAAGATCCATGTGAACGTGCTTCGGTATAAATGTGCTATATGGGGGGGTTTTAGAGATAATGAATGTTGACCTTATGGAAAATTTTCGATCTTAAAACACCGTCAATTTTTTCGAATATATATTGTGCCCGGTGGGAACAACCGTCTTGTGGAGACTAGTCTTCGAAATTAGACACCTAGCGGTAACTAGGGAAATTACAATAAAAAATATAGACGCACGAGGAGACCACATGAAATGCAAAACACCAAATTGTTTGAAATTTGTTTTGTGATTCAATAATGACCCCCCTCGTGCCTGGTGTAGTTCAGTTATCCTTAGGATCTAATTAAAAACGATTAATTTTATATGAAAAAACACCATCGCTTTTTTTATTTAACAAAATTATTGCTATTTTTTCACGAAAAATCACAATTTTAAGGAAAAGTAGCAAAGAAAAAATGCCTTAGGATTTATAAAGGAATACGTACGAGTTCTTTCTCGATTTTCAAAACCATCATCACACATTTTTAGATTAAAGAACTAATTTGAAAGATTATAATTATTTTCTCGCATTTCTAAATTGAGCAATCTTTTCAAGGGTGAAAAATCTGTCAAGATGTTGATTGAAATTATTAATCAAAAATGCAGAATCGTACTGGTTGTAATTTTTCATAGAAACATACAATAGAGTCAACAACAGTACTTGAGAAGAGGCACGCATAATAGATATTATAAGTAATAATTTGATAGTTTTTGCATGGCATAGCGTAGCGCAACATTAGGCAGAGGATTTTGGTCGCCCGAGGCTCTTGGCATTCTTGAAGCTGAAAAGCGCAGCAGCAGCCCGTTGATCTCTCGCGGCCGTTCGCTCGCTCGCTCGTGCGTGCGTCAGAATGATTAATGACGTTAATTGCGCGATTTCAAATGTATACGCATATGCGCGAGAGCATCGAAGCTCATAACATATAGTCCATTGCCGTTGCAGTTTATTTGTGAGACGAGCTCCTTTTCTCGCAGAAAAACTCCATATTTATACATCGTACTGTACGTGCGCTGCGTGTGAGTTTCTCGATGCGCTGACACCAGGCGCTCTCGTAGAGCTAGGGTACACGCATATTCGCGGCTCTCGAAGAACCACCGCCGCGCCTCGACGCTTATGCACATTTGCTCTCTCTCTCTCTTTCTCTCGCTCGCGCCACATATACACCGCTGCACACGAATGAGAATGAGTTATCGACGCTTCTCGGCGTTTAGCGCCGAGCATAACTCATTCGCCTATGTAAATATATGCGTCGATCCGGCGCGAGATTGCTCTATTACGCTATTTGATATTTTCCCCGGCTGCGCGACACGAACTCGCGCCAATTGATCGATGGATATAATGCCGTATACGCGCCGCGAGACGAGCTTCGCGAGTACGCGCGAGGATGACTTTTTTTCCTCGTCCCCCGGCCGGCACGCACGCATCGATCTATGCTCAACTTTTGAGAAATCCCGCATCGGTACGAGTACTGTGCTACAATGTCAGCCGCGTAGGTATATGCCTTCGTTCGGATTGATTGGCAATACATGGCGTAGCAGCAGCAGCGCATACATATCGAAGATGTTCTCTCTCTTTCTGCAACGCGCGATTATAATCAAGCGTATACGAATCGAAAAAGCAGTACAAATTAAAAGTAGAAAGAGATGACTTTCGTTTTTTCGTGCCGCGATCGAGTGAGCTATAGGCCACGTACGTATAATGTATGCTATGCCGTGCTATGTATATAGGATACATTTGCAGCCTAGCGAAGAAATAAATCAAGATTGAGTGAGACTGGAAAAATGCGCGACCGAACGTACAAACAAGTTCAAGTACATATTTCTTCGGGGAGGATGCTATATAAAGGAGTAAAAAAGCGGAATAAACCCATCTGTGGCGCAGTCAGCGAACATTACAATAGCAAAAGGAGCAGCTGGAAAACATTATGTTTTTCCCGAATAAAAAAAGGCCAACGAGAGCGAGATGTATTTGTATGGCTGTGTGCGCAGGTAAACTCCTCGAGCTCTCTCGTGTGTGTGTGTGTACTAGCGCAAGCTCGCGCATTAAGCGAATCAGTCGATCTTCTTTCTCTCTCTCTCTCTCTCTTTCTTCCCCTCGTAGGCAGCTTCAATTATCAATAAAATCGCTACGTACGGCGCGCACAGAGCGAAAGCAGAGCGCTTTGCGCCGTGCATCTACGTCGCTGTTTCATCTCGCGCAGGAGCGGAAATGAATCCAAAAAATGCAGCGTATACACCTCGGCGCTGCTGCTGCTGCTGCTGCTGCTGCTGCTCGGCGTGGTAATAAACGAGCGCCGTTGCAGCCGCAGGCTCTGCTGCTGTGGCTGTGGTTGTTGTGGCGGTTGCTGCTGCTGCTGCTTCATGCACATACATGCACGCACAGTCGTAAAAGTTGACTTTTCTTCTTTTAATGCATTCGCTCGTAGCCTTGGCAAGGACGCGAACGCCCGACAGCCCGAGCCAGCAGTGCATCTGCCAATGGCTTATACTTTCGCGCAAAGCATGCAGTGCATATTGTGCATACATATAGCCTGTACCTGTATGTAGCTATTTCAACACAGCTCGTCCGTTCCTACTGCCCCTTCGCAGCTTTAACGGCGCTATATTCTCCTT